AATATAAAATTTTCTGTGAAAAAAAGGTGTTATTAAAAAAAGAGATCCTTTTGGTATCAAGCTGCATTACAGGACACAAAGTTTCATATAACTGTAATAATTACTACTACTCCTTTCCTGGTGTACAAAACGTATTCATGTTTTCTGACTGCACAGGTCTTCCAACATATTGTCCATGACAATAACTTCCTTTCGATCCCAGGTATTCCACCCTCCTCTTCTCCTTCACCTACTCAGAATTACACCTACACTCATAGGCCCATACATTTTCCTTAGATGACATGCTACCAAACGGGAGTAACTTAAGTAAGAGTTTCCTGTTTTTTATGTTTTCATTTTTTATTGTTTATTGGCACATTCTAGGTATACAGTACAGTTACATTCATCATTGGGATCTTGTACCTTTACATGACAGGTCTTGGTTCTCATTTTTTCCCCTTGTCCCTGCCCTCTTTTCACCTCCTCCTCCCCTCCCCATTTACAAACACTTTATTTCCAGTTTTCATTTTCTCATATTTTTTTCTTTTCCCTTTTTCCCTTTCCCCTACCCTTCCCACTTTCCCTACACCTTTAGCACTTTTCTTCCTATTTCATATTGTAGATTATCTCATTAGGATCTTATGTACTATTATAGTTTTTCACACCAGAGAAACTATTTGGTATTTGCACATGTGTGACTTATTTATTTCACTTAGGAGTATATCCTCCATATGTATCCATTTTTATGTGTTTTTAGAGGGAATAAATACATTTAACAATGGCTATTTTATACTAAGATACGTATCTAAGTTTGTTACAAAGATAATGTCATTATGATTATTACGCTAAAATATTATTATCATTATGTGTGGCTCCTGATTCAAAGTTTTTCTGTTAATATTCTATAGGAAATCAACTACTAGAACAAACATGATTGATAAAAATAACAGTCCTCTATTTTAGATTCCAGGGTGCTTGCTATCCAGATAAAATTATAATAGTTAAGCTCACTGCTCCTACTACACTAATGTCACAGATCTTCTCTTCTGGGTGGTCAACCACCAAAGTTCAGAGACCAACACTAAAAGGTAACTGGGCTAAGAAGACCACCAATATTTTGGGCCTGGCCCTCCAAGGTCATCAAAGATAGAGGGTATGAAGGAACCTTTTGAAATCCTGCCATAATAATAAAGCTAGGTATAAAAAGGGGCTCCAGCCACTGATTCCTTCTGGCAGTTCCCAGATCTACCATATGGGAAAGATTACATCTCTAGACTATTCCACATATGAAAAAAGGCAGGGTACATGGGCCTGCTGAACACAAACACAGGCTGAGAATCCTTAAAACAATGACAGGAGGAGACACAAAAACGACTCATAGCAAAAGCCCACAAAACACCACCCCCATATAAAAGCATTGATCTGTTCTCACAGAAAAAGCTACTGAGACACATAAAAGACTCCTGCACCTCTTCAACACCACGCTACCTAGCTTGCCAGACAACCAGAGTGCTGGATATGCCTGTCACTACGATTCTAGCCATATGTCCCCATAGCAATTCCCCTTAACTGGAATATCCCTGCCCCCAAAATTATCACAATATTAGGTATCTTAGCAACCCAATTAAAATCCTCCACACGTGGCGAATGGACCTGTATAAATGCATCCATCATAAATCAGTACAACTGTACCTCTGTGCTAAAGTTACCCATATTCCTAAGTCAGGCACATGTTCCTTAAGTCTCCCTAAGGGTTTGTCTTATATCCACGACTCCCAGACCTTTTGCTGTCTCAACTCAGCCCCATCTTCCTTCTGTTATGTGGGCTTCCTTAGCCCTCCCCTCACAATTGATACAGAACCCCTGTTATTACAGCAAGTCTTGCCCTCACAACAGCTACCTGTCCACTATCTCAATAAGCATGCTCTCCCCGTACTTCCCTTTCTGATGGGAGCCAGTATTCTGGTGGGAACTGGCACTAGAGTGGCAGGAATCTCAACATCCACACATTTCTATTACTCCCTATCCCAAGGGCTAAATGAAGATATGGAAAAGGTAGCTGACTCTCTGGTCACCCTACAGTCCAAAACCAATTCACTGGCAGGCATGATACTCCAGAATAGATGGGCCCTGGACATAATAACAGCAGAAAGAGGAGGGCCATGCCTCCTATGAAGGGAAGAATATTGCTACTTTGTAAACCTATCTGGCATTGTTGGAGACATGGTAAAGGAACTCAGGGAGAGTGCAGGAAAACATATGTGAGACATAGACAAGACCTAGGCCGGCTACACTCTCTGCCAGGATACTTTGACCAGTGGCTTCCACGGCTTCTTCCTTTCCTGGGTCCCCTCACTATTCTCTGTATAACCGTACTGTTCGGACCCTGTCTGTTCTGTTGTTTTCAAATTTTCTCGTAGGAGCATATGCGGGCCTTTACTGACCAGACTGTTGGCGAACTCGTCTTCGCCGGTTATCAGCCGCTTTCACCACTGTCACATGAAACTCTATCTGTCACCCCAGATCCTTTACCGATGCCCTTTGCTAGCAGAAAGCATATACAGAAAAAGACACCTTTACCCCATTCCATAATAACAAGAGCCTGGGATGATAGCATTCCCTGCTAGATAAAATGGCCCTAACCCCACACCCTAAATGGCTCTTCCTGGAAGACGATAAATCACTCCAGGGAAACAAAGACCCAGCTTTCCCACCACAAAGCTCTCCCACTTCTAGTCCTTCCCACTGGGAAATTCAATCTTGCCAATGGATTTAAACCTCACCTCTGGCTGCAGCTAAACATCTACCTCCACTACGACCCCTCTGCCGACCCCTTGCCCATATAAAACCTCGCCCAGCAAGCCGCTGCCCCGCCGCTCTCACCATTGTCTGAGAGAGCCTGGCACCTCATCCTCTACACCCCAGCCCCTAATAAAAGCCTAGTTTCTGGTGTTCTTATCTCTGGCTCGATTCCCATCTTCTTAATCAGGACTAGAAATAATAGATGGCATTGGAAATATGTATATATTTACTGCCAGATTATATTTCAGAGAATTTGCTGTTCTAAATCATGGTGTCTAATCTATTGCCAAGAATAAAGGGTTTTTTCTGTTTTATCTTATAATTAGTTGATTATTCTAATGAGCCCTAAAAGAACTTGAATGGCAAAACAAGATATCAGCAATCGGAAGGTGAGGAAGCAAATCATTTGGAAAAAATAATACTTGTTTGTTGTTGAGTGTCTACAGATATGATAGTAGACCACAGGAGATATTTATAAATTCATACATAAAGCTAAATTATAGTTTTAGGCTCCCAGAATAATAACTTGAATGGTAGATTTGAACTTATTGCAATTCTAACTTACGTTTCTATTTGAAACTTCATTGTGGTTCCCACATGTTTTGAAACTCCAGGTATGTAAGCCTGAGAGAGCTAGATATAATTGAAGACAACACTGAATGCTTAGCAAATACTTGTCCTGTGTATCCCTAGTGAAGCGTAATAACCTCTCAGATTAATGTTTATTTCAATTCAGTTTGAAATGTCACTATTCTTAATTCAAATCTCCTTATAAGTAGAAACCATTGTAAATCACAGGTGTGATTTTAGTCTCTAGAGTACTTGAAATGCCAGCAGTGAGAATTAAAGCAACAGCCACCATTAACAGTTCAATGCGAAAGGTAACTGGATAAAATCCCCATTCTCTAGTTCCTGCCACAGTAAAGCTGTATAAAATTATGTGGAAATACGCTTTACTTATAATCTTCAACAAAGTGTGAAACTAGTTTTATACAATGCCAAGAAGCTTGTAGTTTTACAAGTAATTAAATGCTGTAAAAGGGGAATTCCTTTGATAACACGGAGAATGAAAAGTAGGAGAAATCCAGGAAAATACCTCAACTTTTCCCAAGAGCTTTAACCTATTTCCTTTCAACATGAGAAACAGATCACACTGCATAAACATCAGTGATTCAAATTCTATTTTTAAGTATTTGCAAGTCTGAGGTTATCATTAGTGATAATCACTGTTTCCTAGGTGGAAATGAAACAAGTGCAAACTTGGAAAAATTAAATCAGTCTGTTACCAAGAGTTCAATCAGCTAAATAAACTTTAACTGAGATCTTACTACATGCAAGACAAAGATTAAAACATAATCCCCAATCTTGTTACTTAACAATGTAAAGGAAAATAAAATTTACGAATAATTATAAAAGTATAAGAAAGAAAGAAAAATTAATACAGATGATTCTTATAAGAGAAATGTTATGTACTATAGATCTGCAAAGTAAATAAAGCATGTCTTCTTAAAAAAAACAGGGCCAGGGATTTGGCTCAATAGTTCCTCCACCTGCCTCACAAGTGCAAGGGCCCAAGTTCAATCCCTGATACCAAAAAAACAAAAACAACAAAAAATCAAAAACCTTCATGGGAAACTCAGATAGCATTCTGAGAAGGAAAAAAGAGTCCACAACTACAGATGAGGAAAACCAGAATTTCTGGAGACAGTAAAACCATGGACAAAATTAAGGAAAAAAAAAAAAGTTGGACATTAAGAAAACATTGTATTTCATGGCAAAATGGTTTCATATATGGTACCAATAACTAAGAAATTCTGATGTGTTAAGGTTTTTGGATTTTACTTTGAAGACAATAAAGAGATAAAAGTTGTAATGCAGGAAAAAATCATAGGTAAAGTTATGATTTCGTATCTGAGCAATGAATACCAGGAAACACTGGTGTAGAAAGTTACAAAAGTTGGAAAGATTGGTTACAATCTTAGTAGATCAGGTGAGAAATAACCATTGAATCGAGTACTTCAGCCACAATGGTGATAAAAGTTGTTAAAGAATTTTGTTGCTCCACATGATATCACTAAATTTTCCCAATAAGAAACAATCTTGTGTTGGAGCTCAGCAGTATGTATCAATGTACTGTAATATACTAAGAGTCGAACGCAAATGCCAACACAGTTCACTACAGTAATATTCAAGACAGTGAATTCAAGAAGGAGACTCACCTCAAGTACCTGGCCTCACTGTGAGTAGGCGTTCTTGACATCTCTTCTTGTTTCTATGTGCTCTGCATAGAAACATTAAACTGAGTGGATCAGAATGGGCCCAAGTTCTAGTGTTCCACAGCAACAGCTGAAATGAAAAACACTGTTCTTAATTCTTAATCTTATGCATATTCTTTCCATGCTTTTTTTCCTTTTGTTTTATTTTACTTTGCTATTCCGGGAAAGGATGACGTGATAACTAATGCTTGCCCTGTTAGTATCTTCCTTATCTCCAGAAGTTGGCTCCTTCTACTGACATCAATGCCCTTCTTCAGCAAATCGCCTGAATCTAAATAAGATAAATAGGTGTTCTCTGGGGCTTACAGCACAGAGGCCTCTGGGCATTGCTGAGCACCCTCAATTAGGAAGTGTCTTTCCTAGGTGGTGACAGTGACAAGGATCTAAATCCTAAGAAATGCAACCCAGGTACTTGAATTTCAGGTGACTAATTTGGTTGACTCCATTTGCAAGGTTTGACTGGCCACTGCAGGTGAAAGGATATGATTGAGCACAGATCAAAAAATCGCCCCAGAGCTGAATGACCTTGTTAAGCAACTTTGGTACATCTTTTATGCAGTGAGTTATGCTCAGCAAAGCACGGATATTTTCCATTAACCTCTGAGGCAACAACAAATTTTCCATTGCTTTTCCCTGCTTATTCGCCTCTCTCGAATCCTCTAACAAAACGTCTCTCTCCTCTTTCATTTGCCACCTTGTCGTGTGGACTCTGTGAATTAATTCCCTAATTAAGACTGCTGTCTATACCACAGCTCAAGTTCTTGAGTTTAAGTATGTTCCTGGTATTCTGATTTCTGTGAAAGAATTCCAAATATAATTTTAAAACACATGAAGAAATAGAAACTTATGAAAAGACTAATTGAATACCTGTCTTAAACTGGATCAAATCAGTCCAAGCATATTTATCACAAAGCCAAAGTGTCAGTGTACACAATGACAAGTCATTGTCCCTAGAAAAACAGACTGCAGCTTATAGAAGAGGTATTGGGGGTCAGATAGACCTAGTTTTACACATCATCTCTAACTTTCTGTGTGATTTTGATAAAATAGTCCATTTTTCTGAGCCTCATTTTCTACATGTACAAAGTGGGGAAAATAGAACGACCTCATTGGATTTGTGAGTATTGGATTCTACCGATGAAATGCGTTTGTACAAATAGTGAGTTCAGCTGTTTATCATTTTGTTGTAGGAGGTGATTTTGTTTTGATTTAGAAAAATCACTGTTTGGAAAGGAACAAATCAAAGCAATAACTATAAGGTAATGTCCAGATGATCACATCAATGACAGCCACCCTTCCACAGTGATCTTTAATCATTTCTGGGACTAATGTTTTTTCACAAACCTTCACTTCAAATGAAATATAAAAAGCAACATTTATCTTAACATTGTAAGATGCATTGCATGTGTGTGGACCTAACAACAGAAATCCTTAGATAAAACTTAATCTTACAGCAGCAAGAAAAGAATGCTTTAAAGGACAGTTTAGTCACCTTCCATTTATTAGCATCTCCCTCAGCGTAATTGGTCTAAGCCAGCCTTAGTCAGACTCTGGCTCAGCCACTTCCTTTTTACAGAACAGCAGTAAACATGCTGTTTTGCAGAACCTGAAGAACAGTCATGCTTGGAATTGTTGCTATGCTACTGAAAGGACAACAAGCTCGTGATATTCCCACAGCAACCTATGCAACATGCGTAGAAATTGGCTGGGATTTCATTGGAACTCCTATCAGCTACATGGTCATTTGGAAAACATGATTTCTTTTATAACGTAGACCTTGGAATAAACATGAACAACAAATGACAAACATAATTGGATTTTTCAGGAAATGTTTTAAAATGTTAAAAATCTTACTTACTAGATCAAATATCTTAAATTACTCTCTTTGGCATTGGTCCATGCCATATTCACATCAGCAAAGACTCACCTTAAACAAAGGCATAAATAATAAGGTAGACAGTGGTCATCAGACACACAAAAGAGAATATTGACTCAAAGGATCTCCAATTTCTAAACACCTAATGTATGTTGTCCCTACTAATTCTCCTTTTCCAGAAGTACATACACTTGTAACAGCCACATAGATGACTGAATATACTCCAAATCACACTTCCACACTCGAGCCAAGCACTCATGTCTGCCTGAGAAAGGCTTCGTTGGAGGCCTATCCCATAACATGACAAAAAAATCCCACAAATCTAGTCTAAACATAAAGGAAAAAGAAAACAGATTTGACCCTGTTGGATATTTAAGGAATTCTGAATGCAAAATTTCAGTCAGCAGTGCTTGTCGTGAAGGAGTTCTTTTTTAAATTAAATTCAACTCTTTATCCTCCATCCCCAGATTTGATAGATTGTCCTGAAGGCATCAAGCCTGCTGGGTTTTTTCCCCCCAATGCATTCCAGATTGAGCCTGTGTGATTTCTATTGCTTTCTGCTTTTATTTTACTGTGAATTTTTCATTGACTTTAATTAAGTTTCTTTTATGTTATGAGTTTCTCAGTGTCTGATATAAAGCTTTTCACACTTTAAAAAATATTAAGTTGGAAAGACAGCAGTTCAGCCATAAAAGAGGTATGAAAGCTATATTATGAAAAGGTCAGCCCTTTAAATAGTCAAATTAAATAGGATACAATTTGGGTTTCACTCTCTCTTTGTGAGCCATCCCATGGGCATGCTAATCCTCGAGAAGAGCGCCAGGGTACTTTTCAGCAGTTGAAGTTCACTTGGAAATCTAGTAGTACTGGGGCTCTCCCAGCCAACTCAATCTCATATATAACCTCCCACAAAACTTTTCCTTTTAGGAATTAAAGAACAGAAAGTCCATGACAGTTGTTGAAATCAAGAATGGAATACTTCAAGAAAGTCCTTCTAAAATTAATCATCTTGATTTTTCATAATGCAATTTGATTTTTATGGTTTTGTTTTTATTGTCATTGTTATTATTTTTTAATGTAACATATCAGGTCAAAAAGAGCCCCCTAGGGTAATGATACAGTATAAGTCATCAGTGAAATTTACTCTACAGTGAACAAGCTATATATTTTCACTCTGTAACATTTTTTATTTAATAGAATGTTCTAGGACATGACAATAAACTCCCAACTCCAAGATCCTGTCACACTATCTTCCATAATGTTATCCACACTAGCAGGTCTCCCAAGGGTGGTGTACAGCAAAAATACTACAAGGGCAAAGAAATATCTTATCACTAGTCAGGATTCAACTCTCTGAATCTCATGAAGGCCACGAGGACCTTTTCTTCCTTTTTGCCCTTAACTCAAGACTCGCCTGCAATGCAAAGGCCACTTTTATACTGCTCCTTGACTCTTTTCTCTTGAACCCTAGTCCTACTTCAACATAGCCTCACAAGCTGAAGTCCTGATGACATTTTAATAAACCAATTCCATAGGGAAAGCCTATTAAAAGGTAAGATTTATCAAACAGAAATAACCCAAAACACGCCTTTCTTGAATAAATATATAGATTTCAATCTCTTTACAACTCTTATCAAAATCTTTAATGTTTTACTAGCTGACCCACCGGGTAATTCCCTCATCTTTCTAAAACAGTCCTATGAGGGAATTTGCATGTGACATTAGTTAAGGGTTAATAAACAGCGCTCGGTATAGAATCACCTGAGAAATGGGGTGAGAGCCAGGGATGCACACAGCACATACATGTGAAGGAAGAATAGACACCCTCTGTGCCTATAATCTGTAGTCTTTCACAGACTACTTGCAGCGCCAATGCTGACAACCACTCCGTGCCATTTCTATAATTGATTTACATGAAGAATACCTGTCTGTTTCTAACCACAGAAGTGGAATACTCAACCGAAGTAAACAGATAAATAACAAAAACATTAACCATAATCACAGAGAATGTGGTTCGTTTATAGAAAAGCAAAGCAAGGTAATATGAGAAGAGGTCTGAGAACATACATCATAAAGAAGAGGTTCAAGGGTCTACATTGGTGATTTTCCCAGAGGATCACTAGAGTTTCTAGCTTTTCTGGAAATTTGATGCAAAGCAAATCTATTTTCCTGACCATTACCTTTCACCAATTTTAGCTGCAGACAGAGAAAGTTCCCAGTTCCTTTTTCTGTAACACAGGAGTTCAGGAAGAATACTTAAATTCTAGGAAATACTGACTTTGATGCCCTCATGTACTGGCTGCCAAACAGCAAATTTAACACAAAACTTTCGCCATGTCATACAAATACTTTGTTCTAGTGCCAAGGGACTTTTCCAATTCTGAAAGGCACAAAAACTTCTATTCTAACCACTAGTAATATGAATTATTATTTGTCATTTTCAAAAGAATTGCTATGAACAACCCAGGCCCTTCCAATTAACACAGGAGGCTTTTGAACCAAAACATTCAAAAGGTTGCTTTTAAATAGTAACGTATTACATAGCTAGTACTTAGTGAGGAATAACCAAAAACCAAAACTAAAACATGATCCTCCTTAAGAAGCTAGTAACAATTTTCAGTGAGATCTAGGTAATAAATAACGTGTGTGTGTGTGTGTGTGTGTGTGTGTGTGCTGTCATACATTTTTAGACTCTCATGCTTTCTGATGGCCTAAAGGTCATTGATTTGACATTAGTTAAAAGGCATTCAGGGAAGCAAAGTAGAGCATCACATAACAAAGACACATATCCAGGTAAAGTTTATTCCTTCAGTGCCCCTCCTTTTTAGCTCTAAAGCCATGCAGCTTTCCTTGCCTGTAACCTAAAATAATGCATTTTGTATAAAATTGTTATTTATAATTAATCATAAGAAGAGACTTGTACTTATTTAAAATAATGATCAGAAAGTGAAAACAAAAAGACAGACATATGCAAATGAAATTTTTATAAGGACCAAATGAAATGGGGGAACACACAGAGGTAGAATGGTGGCTTACCTTTTGTTTTTTCACAGTCATGGTAATACACTAAGATATGTAATAGTGAATGGACAATGACCTTACCCATTAAGTAAAACCCATTGCCATAAACTTGTTTCTCAATTTAGCACAGCACATAAATCATAATAAAAAGTCATTCATATGTAAAATATTTA